GTTTCGAAGTTTTCGTCTTCCTCCTGGACATTGGCATTTTCTTGAACCCCAATTTCTTTTTCTTGGAATGTATCTTCTGAAATGTTGAAACTATCACTTTTAGTGGTGGTGTCGAAAACCTCCATTTTGGCATCGTGTTTATCAACTCCAAAGGTGGACTATCGAATAAAATTAAGTTTAAGGGTAAAGAAGTGAGATAAATAAGTTCTACGTACTATATCTAAATATATATACACTTGTAGTTAGCTGATTAAGTTTAGTGACATCTTGACTAGTTTTGGCTATTTTTGTTTTGTTCATTTAATGTTTATATATGGTAAAAAAATTATGAAAATTCAACAAACTTTAATGCCGATTTCGTTTCCACCGAAAAATGCAACCTTCTCGTTGCCCTCTACGCACAAACACTAAGAACAGGGTGATAAGCAGGCAACATTTTTTGTAGAAACGAAAACCCCATAACATTTGCACCCGAAAATTTTAAACTTTTCATTCAGAATTTTCAGAAAAATTTTAGGTATGCAGTTTTGTAGCTCATTTAATATTAGTAGGTTAAAATGCAAATTTCGAGACGCTAGAACAGGGCTGCAAAACTCCAAAAATTGGTGTGCTTCGGTTCAGTGGTTCGAACCTCTCAGATAAAGCTTGTAACGTTACAAGAACCGGTTCATGAGTTCGGTTCAAATGGTTAAATTTTTGTATGCTTAATGATACAAATATTGCAAAAATATGACAAATCTATAATATAGAAATAAAACGCTTTGTTACTGAGATCAAATTCAAATATCCACATGTATAGTGGTGGCAAAATAAATAGGGACGCGACATTTCAGTAAGTTTTGGCTATTTTTTGTTTGTCTTTTTTAATGTTTATTTTTTTAATATACAAATCCAAGTTTCAAACTTTGAATACAAATTATGAAAATCCGGCAAAGTTTCATCGAGATTGCAAAATTTTTAATAAACATTTCTAGGAAAAATTTGTAAGTTGTCACTTGGTTGGAACTTAAAAAAATTTTAATAAACTTGTTTAAGGTTTGGACAAGTCGTGAGCCTAGTCGAGTAGACAAACACAGCATACTCAGGATTTTTAACTGACACTCAAAATCTTGGCTTAATGTTGAAACCCCCATTTAGGGTCGGTTGGAGCTTACACTAGGCCTTAACTGCATATGTACAAGTACACGGGTGGTCAAAATAATAGGAGTGCGGCATTTGACAATTTTTCTTTTATTGGTTTAATGTTCATTAATTTTTTATAAAAGTATAGCTCGTTCTATAAAAACAACCATATAAATCCAAATTTAAATCTTTGTGCGAAAATTAAAAAATAATCTACAGATTTGAACAAAATTGCATCAAAGCATTAATTTTTTTAATCAGAACTATAGCTCAATTCTCTTAAAATTCGCATTGATTTTTGAATTTTTTTAATGTTTAAACCCCCCTTTTCGGTCGGTTGGAGCTTAACTTCATATGTACAAGTATACCTGTAGCTCGTTCTATAAAAACAACCATATAAATCCAAACTGAAATCTTTGTACGAAAATTAGAAAAAAACTACAGACTTTAACAAAATTGCACCAAAGCATTAATTTTTCAATCAGAACTAAAAAAAAGAGTATACAGTTTTATAGCTCAATTATCTTAAAATTCGCATTGATTTTAGATTTTTTTTTTTGCAGGCGAAATTACAACTCGCGGAGTTGCCATCAAACAAGTTTCATTGGGCAATAGCAAGTTTCAATGGACTAAGAATTCGCGTTGATTGAAGAAACAAATTATCGAAAATAGTAACTTTGTATTGAAGAAAATACGCGACGCCGTCAGCAAAAAATAAATAAAAATTCAACGATATTTTGTAGACACTCAAACTGGAATATGCCACTTTTCTGAATTCTAATTTTTGTACAAAGAGAGAAATTTGGATTTACATGTTTG